TGCAACCCCAATGCATTTCAGTGTGTGCAGAACTGCCAGTATCACAAATTAGGGCTGAAACTGCACGGGCCAGACCTACTGATGTCGAGCGGCCTCACCTTCGGAGGATCATCGTTTTGCACCATTTGTCGCCGCAAAAGTTTTATGGACCCTGGAGCCAGGTATCGTGTCGGGAGTTCCGAGACAACATTCCCGTGGCTGGTATCCACGTACCTTGTGCGGTGGTTCAATCGAAAGAACTATCAGCTGGCCATTCCTACTTTGCAAGAAGTGTATCTAAACCGACATCATCTAGCCAATCATATTTTGTAAGAAGAGATGCTGTGTCCAATAGGACTGAAGACCCAAAATGTGCAAGCGTAGCTCCTCATTGTCCTCCAACGCCTCATGTTCTATAAACAAGTCGTCGCCTGCTTCAGAGTCTGAAGAAGCACCTGCACGATGCTGTCTCGGAAACACTTGTTTACCATATCCATAGTTCGCTTGACCGCACCCCCGCCCAATACAATTTGCAAATACCACTGAAGCATTTCATGTAATTAGTGATGGTATGGGCCCACCCCTTCTTGAACCCACAAAGCCTCGATCCTCATCCTTCCCGGGCTGGTCCAAATATACCACCATGTTCTGCAGCTTGGGTTTGTTCTTGGACCGAAGACGAGCGCCACGTTGGAACCTCCCAGATTGGCGGCGTGGAGGCTTGATCGTTCAGGGTGATCTGATTGGTTGAAAGAATAAAACGTGATGTCTAGATATGTCTAGCTACCATCACTTTGCAGCAAAAATAACAAGGCTTTGTCATTGTTTTTTGCCAGGGAACTTTTGAGGGAGCATGCCAGCTGCTTTGATGTATTGTTCCAATAAGAAAAGGTCAACGGTTTTCATCTTCTTCGGGCATCGATTGTTGCCCTAGGCCAGGATACCAACTGCATTCAACTGCTATTTAGTAACAGAGTTTATCAGGCTATTGGAGTTGCAACATCAACGGCCAAAAGCGCATGGAAAGGAGAGCTAGCTTTGAGGGTTCTTCTCACAAAAAATATCTATTGCATCCATAGACCCCTCCCCAGATACGATAGCGCCGATCCTTCTGCCCAGACTTCAAACGTGCCACTCTGAAGTCCCCAATTCCAAGTACAGCCGCCACGCACTTTGGCGACATACGTTGCCCCATCAATTTCCAAGTCCGTCGCACCTTGCTGTAGCCGCCGATCACCTCCGACACCTGAAGTACAACATACTGGAGGTTGCGTTTGTTTTGCAAGAGCCGATGCGCTATGAGCACCATCACAAAGAACAAATGAGGCGTGCGCGAAAAGGTCTTGGGCATTCTTTGCCATTGACCAAAACAGCTCAAGAAATTGCATCAACTGCTTGAAGACTGACTGGACCTTCTGGAAGCATCTCTTCCTATGGCACCGGCACTTGTCCAGCGACTGAAGCCGCTTGACACGATCTTCGGACATGCCATTTGTGCACTGCCTTGGCTAGAATATGCTAAACAATGATACGATTGCGAACAAAACATCGCCCTCACACGGGGACATGCAAACAAGCATCTGTGAAACATCCTCAAACTGACTGTTTAAACTGTTTCAATCCAATGACTCTTGATGATTTGGAGGACGGCCCTTCGCAAAGAAAGCTCGCTTCGTGTTGTTGTAGTTTGGACGTTTCCTGGGAGGATCATGCTCCTCCTTCAGCATTCGAAAATCTCGCATCTTCTGTTGAAACTCCAGCAACTGGTCTAAAGAAAAGCGCACAGCTGCTTCAGTGTCTTTGGCTGCCTCCCGTGCATCGCCTCCAACTTGGTGTGTCTTCTGCAACTGATCAGTTGCCCCTGCTAACCCAGCAAAGTACTTCCTTTTGATACCACAGGTAGCAAAGCACGATGCAGTGGAAACTGAACTGTTCCCTTCGGACCTGGCCTTGTTCCCATTTGGGGCACATGGCTGTGCTGCTGTAGTTTTCGAAGCAGCCAAAGATTGGAAATACCTGTCAGAGATTGAGAATCAGGGCTTCTTCTTCTCACTTTAGTATGTAGTGACATTGGGCTTCAATGCAAAGATAATTCACTAGGTGGTGGTTTCCGGTGCTTCCACTACCCACTGACTAATATGGCTCAAGGAGTTGAAACTAATCAGATCAAATCAGAAGTCGCCTGCGACGAGCCTCCATGCCCAAGGCCTCCAAAACCAGACACATCCAAAGCTAATGACATTTTGAATTTGCTAGATCAGCAAGACGATTAGTTGGGGATAGTGAGAAAGTTCTTCGGCAGGCAGTCCTGCAAACCGCTCGTCACTGATGAGCGCAGAAGGTGGACACCTGAGGGTGGCCGAGAGAGTGGCTGAATTCCGAATGGCCAGCCAGGCGTGACTGATGTTCATGTCTCATGAGGTGCGGAGTTCTTCCAAGAGACTATATAGTTCTTAACCTTCTACAACTAAACCATGGCTTACTATATACTATAACCCTTTTGCGCAACTTCAAGATTCACCATGACATGTTTCACCAATTCTCTGAGGGCAAGACTGTGGGAATGACCATCATGATGACCATGTTGCGCAGAGAAGCCGGCCGGATGCACTAAAGACCTCTTGAGTTGCTACCATGATATGATTTCACCCTGGATTGATTGTATTAATCAGATTCTCTTATGACTCTGACTTAGTGTCTCACTATGGTCTTTGTGTTCCCAACCCGGTAGATAGCTACGTTTCGGTTTCGATCCAACTATGGCTGAAATATGCTGAAATAGGCGCCTAAAGATAACACCACTCATGAGACTCATGGTTTCTGAGCATATTGTCCCAGATTTAGGCACCGGCTTTGAAGAGAAAGCATCTCAGCACCTGGCGGCGGCACCAGTCATGACCGGAGGACGAATAGCAGCAGTGTGCCAAAAAAGGAGCCGAATCAAAGTGGGATTTGGATGGTTGGAATGATTTCCTATCGGTCATAATAGGATGAAGTGCATCAACACCTACATCAACGGAATGGAGCTGTCAATGCAAAACCCAAAATGTTGTGCCCAACGGAAAGGAGCTGTCATCGCAACCCAAAATGTTTTGCCCGACCGATTCCTGAATGCTGTCATCATCGAAGGGTCGTTCTAAGATTCTAAGATTCAATGCCTGTTTTAGGCAATTCCAAGCTTGTCCAACTAAAGGACAAAATTCATTCCATGCTCAATGCATGACTGGTTTGGGGTCAATCAGACCAAGACAAATCCATCTTCATCATCGGCTGGCTGCTCCTGAGCCTGCTCATCTTCTGCTGGTCCTGGCCTTGCTGATGATGCTGGTGCGGAATTCAGCCATTCGCCTGCTGGAGAGGCTGATGGCTGCGAGGTCATGGATGCTGCATTTTCAGCTGATGGCTGCGAGGTCATGGACGCTGCATTTGCAGCTGATGGCTGCGAGGTCATGGATGACGCATTTGCCGGTGGTGGCTGCGAGGTCATGAATCCTGCATTTGCCGCTGATGGCTGCGAGGTCATTGATTCTGCACGTAGTGCAAGTACCACTTGCGGCGGCTCCCAACCCAAAGGAATCACCCGTGGCACCTGGGGAGGGGGTAGCGAGGGCGGTGGAAGCAAGAAGAACTCATCCAGGCACCCCATCAGCAGCATTGAACGATTCTGCTCGCGGAAGACCTTGGGCTGAGCTTCAAACCTTCAAACCTATAGCCTAAATGTAAAATTAGGTGACCAAAAATTGAACAACAATTTACACAAAACAGGCTAGGCTGCAATGTGCGGGGCATAGGACAAGTCCAACCTCCACACCAACCGTGGCAGCAAATTTGCACCAAAGCAGCAGGCCCAATTGATGAACTCGATGGAGTTTCCATCATCTGCCATGCGCCACTTGCCAACTGACCCAATCGCTGGTTTCTGGCTCTTCGTCAGCCTTCTAAAGGTGATTGGTCCTCCAGCGGCCGTGAAGATATTCCCCATAGCGGAGGCCTTCTGCTGAGAAGTCATTTCCTGCTGGTCAGACCCTTTCTGCTCACGCACATAGCACCATTCGTGCCACCGATTTGCACGGTGGTCTTTGAACTTGAAGATCCATGTTTTCTCGCCACTCTGGTGCACCTCCCTGTGAAGCTGAGGGTCAAGGTACATGTCCATGGCTTGACTGACGAAGATCGAAGTCGAAGAATTGTTCAGGTCAAAAATTAAAATTGACAGAACGTGGAGTGTAGGTCGACCTGGGTGTCATGGAATAATGCGTCCAGCCCCGAATTATGCAACGTGATGAGTTTATGAGTTACTAAGTCTTGTAATGATGTGACGAGTGGTGAACACATTTGTCAGACCTGAGGCAAAATGCCTTCGGAAAACGTGTCGCTGCCATGTGAAAACCTTTCGACAAATTCCGTCATCGTGTCCCCCACTCCCTGGCCATCTCCAAACACAAGGTCACCAAGCCACCGGCATGATCTGCCTGGTGGCCGGTTCAGGGGTCGAATATCCTAACTAAACCATCTAAACTCAATCAGTCTTCAACTTCACAATGCTCAAGCCCCCACCCCCAATCCTCGCCTCCAGGTGGTTGTCAAAGGCAATGGGGCATTTGAACAAAAGTCGGACGGGCTACTAAACAAAAGTCGAACGGGCTACTATAAGACCTGAATGTAATATGATGACACCTGTATGCAACGAAATAGCCTTATATATAATCAAGCAGCTTGAATCTGTGCTTCAATGGCGCTGTATCAAGTGAACTTTCACCTGCCAGTTGCTCAAGGGGGACTGTGCACTTTCACCTGCTCAAGTTGGTAAGTGCCACTCTCACGTTTAGGAGCCAGGTGACGTGGGACTTAGGATGCATACATAACCTTGCAATGGACCCCTCAAAACACTTTAGGAGCCAGGTGGCATCGGACTTAGGATGCATACATAACCCAACGCTGATGACTGAGAAGTTACAAAACCGCGGCGTATGTTTTCTAACTCCTCAGTCACTTGCTGGTAGTATAAGTATAAGCGACGCCTCCCTGCCGAAGCATTGCTGGCGAAGGCCCCAGCAACGCACTCTGCCTTCCATGCAAAACAGCACCAAATACTAGCAAATTGTAATCGGACTCGGTCTTGGATCTTGAGCTTGTGTCTGGAGTCAGTTTGGGGTGTTGAATTGACTTGGGTCTTGTCTTGAGTCTACAGTCCTCCGCTTTTGTTTGGAACTCCGAAGGCCTCTAGCGGATCTTTGGGCAATTGGCGTCTCTTACGCGGCTGAAGCACTGGACCCATGCAATAGAAAACAATCGCCTGTCGCAAGGCAATCAGCCGCTGCTGAAGCCTGCCGATCTGGCTGTGTAGGAAATTGGGCCGTGGAGTGCTCAAATGCCTGTTCCAATCACTTAGCTCATGGATTTCAAGGCTCAGGCCTCGGACTTCAAAAGCAAGGTGCTGTGATTCGCATGGCTTGTAAAGTTGAAGGCCTTTTTGCTGTGTAAAAACCTTGCACATACTCTATAAAACCACAAATTATATGGCCATATGGCCTACGTTATGACAGCTCCGTACGTCAGCTCCTCAAACTCCCAAGAACCCGTCACAGATACATCAACAAACAGCATTGGAACTTAAACTTCTCATACTTCACGGTTCTATCTCGTCAACTCCGTAGATCAAGGGTAGGAATTTGTATGCCCTCGTAATTATTAGCAAAGGTGATTTCCATCTCCTGCGCAGCTCGCGTGGCACGCTTTATCCATTGAACATCAAACCATTTTCTGGCACAAGTGTCTTCGGCCAGTTACCCAACCTCACACTAGTTGGGGCCTAAAAAATACATTGAATCCCCCTATTGGAAGGCTCTGGAGATAAGACTAGGAAATTGACATTGAACACAACAACTCGTTGAAAGTAGCATGGCCAAACGCTGCAGCCCCGCACGGGCTCGAGGCCGCAAGCGAAAAGGTTTGGACGTGGCGTTCGCCATGCGGAGGTAAACCTGCGAACGCTCATCTATGCAATTGTCTTTATTGTACAGTTGCAAGCATTTGCAAACCATTCTTGCTTGCGCAGAACTACGATCGCAATTTCCTGACCTGACGAGCAATGCCTTTGGGAAGGCCTTTGACAAGGTCTAAAAGCATTGGTCGGTCAACCTGACAATGCAAACTGCAAAATACTCAAAAGACTACCACAAACCACCCCCAAAAACGAACATCCCGAAATTTGCACGTTCATCGACCGTCGTGCGCGTCAAGGTTTGCTGGGAAGCAGGCAGATTTGACGAATAAGTTTTGGGTGGCCTCCAGCGTTGCGATGTCTTTTGGGGATGTTTGGCGCGCAAAACAAACAGCACAGCGCAAATATAAAATGCGCCTCTGGGTTGTTGGGCACAGGAGCGACCAATGAAGCATCGTAAATGTTCAAGGCAATGTTGAAATGCTCCACCTCGCAAGCCGCTGGCCGTGGTCATGATTGACTGGCCTACGCGCCTCATAAAACAAACGTGAAGTAGTGTTTTGAAGCCGTTGGCGCAAAATAGAGACGAGAAACAACCATTTCTATCCACAGGGCATCCTGCGGCAGCAGTGAGATGTCACATTCAAGTCGCAAAAAACCTCCGCCCGTCAAACAACGGCAGTGGAAAGCGGAGATGCGGGGCAGCTCAACCAACCACGAACAAAACTAGAAAAGGATAGGGGGTAATACACCGATGCATGATGCGATCGGTCCACGCGTGGCCTGCAGTATGCGGCCATCGACGGGCTGAAGGAAAGGATATGACATCAGTCTGATATTTGTGTTTCGGTTTCACAGCCCCCAAACCAAAGATCCTTCAGTCCATCTGGATTTCAGTCGGCTTTCCGACTGTTGACCGCAGCACCTCCGTCTCTTGCTCGATCTGGAAGGTGCACCCGGCCAGCATCTGGAGCACAGGCATGGTCTCGACAGGCGGCAGCCTCTGACGCAATCACATGCGTCTTCCCAAGCTTCTCCAACTCCTCAAAGCGCTGCTTGGACCTCGGAGAACCTCACCGATTCCATGAGGGCGCTTTGCCTTTCCGGCGAGCCAGTGGTGGCCGACATGCTGGTTGCCTCGCGCAGCAACGACCAAGCAGCTTTTCGCCTGAGACGGCGAGATCGCCACTAGGTGACCGAAGCAGCCGCGGAAAGATCTGGTCTGGACTCTCGCAACAGCCAGTTCAGCGATGCAAAAGGTCCCTCAACTGGGCCTGTTCGCTGGGAGATCAAATCCACGGCTGCCGAGTCCTTCTTGAACCTTCCGGCTGAGTCAAACAGGTTCCAGCCTGGTGTAAACGAACTCTTCCACGTTGAAGATGCGGAAGCTAAAATCAGAGAGTTGTCTGATGAACCTTCCAGGATAGTTAAGAACCCTCTGCACCGTAGAGCTCATCGATCTTCAGGATGCTCGATGCTTTCCATCTTTCTCTTCCGGCCTTGGTGTTTTTCTCCACCGCCTTCAACGATGCCGTCGACCCCAATGATCACAAAGCCTTCAGTCTTGGCTTTTGGTTGGCTGGAGCTCGAAAGGAAGTGTCAGCGCGCACTTGTTATATTTATATGAACTTGCCATATGGGTTCTACGTGTACCCAAGCTGCTCTGCACTGACCTTCACCAAGGTCCTCCTGACACCGAATTATAAGTTTCTGACAACAAAAGTACCAACTGGCATTGGTCGAGTCCTGGCAGCGAAGTGGTTCATCACGAGGCTGCCTGCGTGGCGGCCGTGCGCGGGTTGTTGGGAGCGACCGCAGGAAGGAGGTCTTGACATCTTTGACGCGTGTCTTCCAACCTCTGGAGGCGCACAGCTCCAGCCAGGCATGGATTGAAGCGCTCAAAGGTGTTGGACTGGAGCCCTGGATCTTTCCAGCCCACTGTGCATCATCGAGACTTGGGCTTCTGTTGACCAGTCTCCAATGCCACTGGTTCAATGCGTTGCCCTTCTTTTGAAATTGTTCAAGGAAGCTCGATCGATGTCTTTTAGCTTGCGTCGATCGACGAACTTGGAGTCGATGATCTGGCCGGGGTGTTCTTGGGCAAACTTCAGGCTTTCTTCCACACTTAATACCTTGATGGCTTGAGACGGGCGGCGGCGCTGGTCGGGTGCTGGTGCCGCTGCCGGTGTTGTCAGCTGGCAAAGAGCACCGGCGTTGGTGTCAGCTGGTTGTGCGCGCTGTTGTGCGCGCTGTGGAGGTGCCGTAAGCTGGCTGCGCAGGCTGCGTACATTCCTGTTCCAGCCAGTCGCATGTCAACAGGTCGTGGGATTCTGCCTAGCTATCTGGGTCTATCCTGGAGTAATTTTCAGTAATTGTAGATTGTAGTGATGTTTAGTAAGATTTCTGAAAGCTTTCGACAGATCCATCACTCAAGCTCTGCATGTTGAAATCTGATTTGCAATCTTTTTCCTCCTTGTGTCAAAGGTCTTTTGGCTCCAAGATTGGCGGAGCATCTTCTGTATCCTTCCTTTGGCTGTAAGCCCCCTGTCTCTCCCAGACCAAAAAAAATTGTCACCTCATTCCCTTCCAGTTACCTTGTCTTGCCTCCTCCTCCTCCTCCTCCTTTGCCTGGGTTCCCAGGCCTCTCTGTGATGCCACAGACCCCTGGAATAATGTTGGCAACGTCCTCCCTTCCAATCACCTCTTGGCGCCGCTGCCAAATGGTTGCCGTGTGCGCCTTGGAGCTTGGGCGCTGGTGTCGCTGCAGGATTCCCCGCTGCCCTGGACGGGTGTTTCCCCATGGTTCCACTACAGTTACACACTTTGGCAACTGTCATCGAAAACAAAGGTGGCAGTTAAGGGTCAAAAGCGAAGGTAAAGTGTAGATCCCGCAGCTTCCGTCCGGCCTGAGCAAACCGCGGGCAGTGTACGCAGCTGGTAAGTTTCAGCAGTTGCGCCAGCCGAACCTTTTGTAGGAAGGTGCGGCCAGGCATTCGGGTCCACGCCAGCGCTGCCCAGCTGTGTACTATGCAAACAGTACGGTGTGCTGTTGGAGACTTGTACCGGCTTGCGTGCGATCGGGCGCTCTTTGCTCCGTCAACCAAAGAACAAGACTGCGCAGCAAGAAGGCTGCGTGAGCAGGTGCGAGCATCAGGTCCAGAAGAGCCTTCACGGCACCCTGGCATACGTGAAGAGGCCATGTTTTTGCTTTCTACCTACCTGCAGCAGCCCCTTCGCAGCGTTGCTATTTTGAGGACACAACATGTTGTCCGCCAGGCTGAGACTTCCGCAAATGGTCTTCAGCACGTTCGGGATCAGATCCTAAATGATGCAGGTGCGCCATGTGAGACATGGTCTGGAATGCTCCGGTCTTCACCCTGTCCATCACTGATGCCACTTCAGTCGAAGAGTCTCAGCCTCTCGCTAATGCTCTAATGCGTGCTGTATTGTACTTAGCAGCAGTTGCAATCGCTGGCAAACGACGCATGCTTTGTGAGCATCCCAGTGCATGGCACACTAGCAATCTGGCGGGAAATGACTTGCTACCCAGTTGGCTCTGCCGAATCTGGACTTCTGTTGCTGCTGATTTGCAACTATTTCTCTCAGCTTCCTTCATTCCCATCGCCATATCATCTTCACTTCCTGTCTATCTGTTGGCTGTGTTGGGTTCTTGCTGCTCTCCAGTTTGCCTCGCCTGCCGATTGTTGTGGCCTTTCAGCCTAAAAGCCGCTTTTGAAATCATAAAAACATATCCCTGTCCTGCGCCAAGGCTTGTTGGCATCCTCTGCTTGTTGCAAACAAAGCGCATGAATCCGGGTGGGCCTCGGACGTAGTTTGCAGAAGGCCGTCAACACGGCATGTGGAAGCAACTTCTGCCCTGCACTGAACTGGAATTATTATGGAGGCCACGCCGTCTACAGTTCACAAACGTCTTCTGAATCTATTGTAGTTCTCGCGCAAAACGACATTTGAACCAGCAACAAGTTTTGAACATGAAGTGGATGGAGTTTTGATCGAAAAAACATGCTTGAAATGGATGCGGCACTGAGAGGAGGACCAAAAATGGAACCACCGTAAGAGGGGCCGTTTTGCTCAGTGGAGCATCCAACAGCCTGGGCTAGCTGGAGCTAGCTCATGCCCACTCATGAACTTCTCTCAAAGCGGCTCAAAGGAAGACATTGGGAAGAATCACAGCTCCATCATCCATCTGACGGACCTAGCAGATTCAGATTCAAGAATTTAGGAAATTTGCACAAGTTGCCAATTTGGATTCAGAATTGTGTTATTTGTGCTTGGCAGCCGCTTCGGCATCAAACAAAGGCCGAGACTTCTAAGGCGGTATACAGTATGAAGACAAAACTGGTTACAGTACACTGACTTCGCGCTCAGTGAATATTGTGCTGGAAGGCTGGAACAATGTCGTACTTGGTACAAGTCACTGGCAGTACACATATTGAAAAGCAAAATTGTATCTGGTCTGTTCGCAATATCATTTAAGTTTGGAGGAGCACATGTACACACTGCATTGACATATCATTTGCTGTGTGCTGGTTGCTGGTACGGGCAAAGTTATGGAAGGTTCTGCAAGTTCGACCTTGAAATACTCTCACATCTAGTGCGTCTGCACTCTGCAAAGGTTGCAACCTTGAGCAAGCTCAGGACTCGAGGGAACAGCACTGTGCAACTGCATCACTGGCATGTCAAATAGACTCGATTGGTACCCTTTTCAATGCGTGAAAGCTGCCACGCGCTGTCAACACAGGCTTGGTGATTTAAGAATTGCGGGATAATTAGTGCATGCAGGCTACACTAGAAGCACTTGCTATGAACAATTGCCGGTCCGAGCTCGTCGTACTCAGCTTTCCTCAGTGAAGGAATGAAGGGTGGCTAGCTTGCCAAAGGTACGCTCTTGAAATTCCAAGTACGTGGCCCGATCAGCATTGCGCTGAAGGTCGACAACTTTGAAAGAATAGAAGCGCCCATCCAAACAATGTACCTGCTTGAACGAATATCAGAACATCATGACTCAGTTTCTTCTAAGCATCTGGCACACATTGGCACACCACAAGAACAACTAGACTATATATATATATACACACACACATCTGATTCCGCAACTGAGCTAGTTTTGCTGCTTCACACTTCCTTTGTCTTGCGTCGAAGGTGACAGCTGTGCCAGCTTCACTTGTAATTGGACTGCGGCCTATCAGCAAAATACATTGCCTTTTCCCTGTCCAAAGACTTGTGCCACTCCACCAACTCTTTCTGACCAAATTCAGTCTGCGGGACTTCCTCCATCTCGAAATCATACAAATCTCCATTTCCGCAAAGGCGCGTGACTCGGTCACGGCGACCAACTCCTGCAGCTGCTTTGACCAAACGCACTGCAAGGCCAACCCGATCCACCGAATCCTGGTTGGGTGATGAACTATGAATTGTTAAGAAGTTATGCGCCGATGCTTCACCAGGCTGCAATTCGGCGGCCACTATCTCTGAGGAGCTCCAACTTGTCCCAGTTGTCTGATTTCTGTAGTTGTCTGGAATGTACTGTCCAAATGCCAAGAGATTGGACTCGTCTTCGCTTTCCACATGTGGCAGCTGACCTAGGAGATGAGAAGACCGTCGGAACAATAAAGGGCCACTATTTGCTTGCACACGCGAAAAGGCCAACCACACAGTAACCCCATCATCCCCAAATTTGCTGTACGTGGAATCTTGGTGCCAGGTGAAGTGGTGCCTTGAAGACCTAGTCTTCACACACCAGTCTGTTGACCAAATTACAACGTCTGCCCCCAGTAGTGCTTGAGCAGTATCCTTTAGGCAGCTGTTGTTCACCAGCATGTCATGAAGCCACGGCAACAACAAATGTGATTTAAAACGATAGTCAGACCATTTCTTCCGCTGCAAACACTCATTGCGGAAATCCTTGTACCGAGGAAAGAAAACCTCGCTGAAGGAGTCTGCCGGGAACAGTTGCAAAGGAAAGCAATATCCATCCTCATGATACTGCGCAACTTTAAGAGTGTGCAGCCTGGCAACTTTCACTGCTTGGTGCCACTTCACAAAGCCAACAGCTGCGCAACTACGATTCATTGCTTCCAAGTCACCCTGCGCGCAGGAAAAAATGAGTTTTCTAGCAAAAACATGTTTGAGACAGCACCGTCTGCAATCAACAGACCATCTCAAAAACCCAAAGACTGTTTCCCAAAAAAACTATTTCTAAGAAACTCAATGCGCGACGTTTTGTTGGAGAATGCAAGAAAAATATGTTAGAATTGTTAGAATGTATATGTTTGAATACCAAGAATTGTATTGCTGTGTTGTATCTGAGTCCCTGCACAGCGGGTTTCAGGAACGGTGTGATCGAGCCAAAAAAGGAAGGTTCACGGTTGAAAGCCACGAGCACAAAATAGTTCCAAGCCGCCCAACAAGAAACACCAAGACTGAGCTACGCACCAGGACTAGGAGATCACAAAGCCCCATCTTAAAATTTGGAAAGCGCGCAATTTTGATGATGGTGGTGATGATTCTGATGATGATGATGATGGTGGTGGTGGTGATGATAAGGGCCGAAAGTGCTCAGGCCCCACTTGCTCCCATGTTGCCCAGAGGCTATAACGCGTTGAGCCCCATTTCGGGTGGTCCCTGATGAAACTGATCCTGGACCTCCTCCATTACCGGAATGTTGCTCATCCACAACGACAACACAAAGAAGAGCGTCACCACTTCGAGGTGATCCATGGGCACGTTTTGGTTTGGTTTTATCTGTCCCTTGTTCTTGGCCAAGTTTGTGTTGAGCAAGACCTGCCACCTCAGCAGGCCCTCGCCTTCGATTCGATCAGGGGCACAAAGATCTACAACTGCCACTGAAGCCAAACATTAGCATACATATATATATATATCTATATATTGTCCATGGCGAAGCCTAGTGGCATAGGACCTCTCCATTATGGGCCACCGCGTGGTTCTTTTGGGCCACCAAAAGGGCCGCTTGGAATGGTACAGTTCTCTTGATCCCGGGTCCGGGTCAGCAGCCCTGTGGCCCTGTTAGATTGCCATCAAAGAATCATCTTGGACCTTGGAGCTCAAATGTCGTCGCGCAGATCGAGCTACCGCGACCAGCATTGTCAGATACAACCAAAAGCGCCCCGGTTTCAGCGGGACGCTCGACGCTCGTCATGTCGAACAAAAACCATCATTGCGGCGCGCCAGTCCCATTGCGCTCTATGCTCTTGAGTCTTGAAGCTGTTGGCGTTGACAATACTTGAACTACCTTTTCAACAACAACTCATGACACCGCGCGGTTGCGCAAATCACACGGCGCAAGTCTATGACCTGGTTTGATCCACAGCCATGAGCTTTGTACACATGGCACCACGCCTAGACAGAGACCATCTCCGCAAAAATACACAGATGAAGTTGATGACGAATGCATGCGCAAGCGCTGCGGCGATTCCTTCATCAGTTGGCAGAACTTCAATGATCGCACTAGCTCTTTCTCCTGCCCCAGCCTTGATCCTCAAGGCACCTCGCGAAGTGCTGTTTACTGTTTCAAAAGCCGGCGCAGCATCATTTGTAGCTTTTGGGGCGCAGCAAACGTCAGCCCACAAGGGGGAGACGCTCCAGAAGCCTATGGTCTATTTGGCCGTCTATGTAGAGTTGAAGCTGCCCGCCACGAAGCAACTTGGATTGCGATCGTCGACATAGGCAACTTCATCCAAACACAACCTCCACAAAGGATGGAAGTTCACTCATTCGAACGAGACGAAATAACTATGCCACCTATGCCAGAGCTGGGGGACCGCGGAACGCGCTCACTCCACGCCGTAGAAGGCGTCTTGGCCGCCATGTACCTCCAACCTCCACCCGCACAGTCTTAGCGCGCCGCCCAGTTCAGGACCTGATGGCGTTTCGCTATAGCACATTGAGTGACCGTGTATTGTATCTGCATTATTGTCAACTTAGGAAGGTTGACAAGTCCTTTGAGAATCCACTGGCAATGAAGCTTGCTGACGAAGCCTTTGCGCCATCCATATCTGCTTTGGGCCGTGGGTTGTACGTACTGTGGCGTGGAACAGAATCCTGGCCTTCACTTCCCAGTCTTCGATACCATGCTCAGGGATGATCTCACCTGCCTATATATATATATATTTTTTTTTACAGGTTTGACTCCCTTCGCGCTTTCCTCCCTACTCGAGTTGCGCAATTCTCGAGAGCGATTTTCCTTTTAGTAACTACTTCACTCTCTTCCTAGCTTCCACGGTGATGAAAGGATGAGCATCCTCCATAAGCCTGTGTGAATGGATACATGGCGCTTCTCCTGGGCGTTTGGCTCTTGCCCGGCCGTACGCTTTCATCGCTGGCGAGCGTCGAGATGATGATGATGATGATGATGATGATGACGATGATGATGATGTCAACGATGAATGGTGATGACGATGGTGATGACGATGATGATGATGCTGATGAAGATGGTGTCAGCGATGAATGATGATGACGACGACGAGGATGATGTTGATGACAACGATGAATGAGGATGATGATGATGATGACGATGAGGAGGGCTGTACATCTGCACAGAGCGCTACGAGTGCCAGCGCGCCTTCTGTGAGGGTTCGCCACCACTTTGACATGAATCTTCTGAGGCGCAAGAGCCTGAACCAAATCTGCAAACGCTTGTTTTTGCGCGGTTACGGCCAGTACTGATCGCGGGCCTTCAACTCCAGTTCCAGTCGATCAGCAATACCCGGAAACATTGTATTCCCTGCAACAGAACGCGCTTTCAGTTGAAGGCGCGAGCAAGAATGAAACGAAAGGCCTCCGCTGAGAACAATATTCCCAAAAAGCTCTCTTCTCAGATCTATATCGCACGCCTGCACATGAGAGGCTCCGCTGAAAACTTTGTGACATGAACCACCTTCCAAACCCAAATGTCCAAAGACTACTGCAACGCATCGGCGTCAGTCATGGTCTTTCAAATGACTGTCAAAAGAGCAAGGCGCAAGCCAGTACGCAACCGGCAGTCCAAGGCCGCGGTTCCCATGAAACCCGCCTGGATAGACTGATAAACTGACTGGTGAAGCCTGGCATGGGGACGCGGTGCAACTGCAGAAAGCGGGCGGCCAAAATCTGCAGAGGAACCCAGGAAGCTCTCTGCCAGCTATCATTGGATCAAACATGACCTGAAGCAAACAAAGATGCAAGTGATTCGCGCTACAAAATTGCGCGCCACACCTCCGGCACCCTAAACCTCTCAGCCGTCAAGCTGACCTTGCGACGCAAGGAATGATTCTTCTTCATAACTTTGGCCTTCGCTACGCGTTCTGGCCTTTTGCCCATCAGGCAGCTCGAAGATCTTCTCGTAGTCCGTTGGCCTCTCCTCTAATTACACTTCTCAGCTCGCAAACAATGTAGGCTGCAAAGCGCTAGCGCTAAGGCCTAGGCTTAGGCGCAAATGGCAAGTTTTGAGTGGGCACCCAATCCAACGACAATGGTTTTTTTCAATCAACCCAACACCTTAGAGTTGCTCACCACGGCGCGCGCGGAAAATGGCAGCGCTTTCGTTTTTACATGACCTACGTTGACGGGAGCTTTGATACAAGACCCATTCACACCTGCCAGACCAGCAACTCCGCGCCACACAGGCTTTCCTCGATAGGACTCTGGGGCATTTGCAAGTCTTGACGCCGACGCAACAATCTTGAAGGGAGAGAGCGAGGGTTCAAGGCGCGTCGCCCTCGCAAAGTCCGCGCAAGATTTCTTCCACCGCCCCTCGCAACGCACTGGCCCTGCCAGCATTTTTGTAGCGCTGACACGTGCTGACTGTAGCGTTGAAGGAACGCTGACTGTAGCGCGTTGACTGTCGCGTTGACTGTAAATGCGCGGAGTGTTCCATGCTTTGCGGCGTTCTTTGAAGGTAACTTTAAAGTAACCCTGCCAACAGTTTCTTAGCGTGGGTTGATGCCTCTGCATCAAGTCGTGAAAGCTCCTTTGTCTTCTTCCTAGCGCTAGGCTCTGCGCCGCCAATCGGCATGTCCGAAGCCCAACCTTTTGAAGACATGCCCCTAATTGTTGGCGCACCAGTCCTCGCGGGCACCGCCAATCACTCCGCCCAGCGACACGCCGCGTTTACGCCGAATCGCGCAATCACGCTTTCACTGAGGCCAAATTCCCCAAACCATGTGGACACTTAGGGTCTTACGGTGTTAGAAAAGCAGCTGATGCTTAGATTGCTGAAGCGCGCTGGAGTGACCGGCTAATTCGCTGCTATTTACAGTGCATTCATGCCTCTCAAAATCGCGACGGGCGTTTCGACTGCGCAGGCTCGCGAAATCTGGGCGGCGACGGCGAGCGCTTGTCGCGACCGCGCTCCCTTTTCGCACATGGTGGTCACTTTTCGTGGCAGGCGCAAGGGAAACCTTGTGTTTTGGTGGCCCAAAGTCGACTTTTCGTCACAGGTGCAAGGGATCGGAGCGGTTTTACTTCGAAGTGCAGATTTCGTGGCAGGTGCAGCACTTTGCATGGACATGGCGGCGATCGTCAAGGCGCTCTGATTTCGTGACAGGTGCAGTGAGTCGTAGCTTTTCGACATGTGGCTCGGTTGAAGATTTCGTGGCAGGCACAGCGCTTTGTGAACCTCGACGCGCAGAGTTCGTGACAGGCGCAGCGCTTTGAGTGAACCTCGAAGCGCAGATTTCGTGACAGGCGAAGCGCTTTGTGAACCTCGAAGTGCAGATTTCGTTTCCGGCACAGCGCTTGGTGAACCTCGCGTCACAGATTCCGTGGCAGGCACAGTGCTTGGTGAACCTCGAAATGGAGATTTCGTGGCAGGCGCAGTAATTGGTGAACCTCGGCAGGTGTGTCATTTTTTTGAAACTCGAAGTGCAGATTTCGTGGCAGGCGCAGTACTTACAAAGTGCTCTCAAATGCTCACTCACTCACTGACTCACTCATTCACTCACTCACTCACTCACTCTCACTCACACTGACTCTTGACTCACTCACACTCACATTCACATTCACACTCACTCTCACTCTAGATTTTGTGGCAGGCGCAGCAATTGGTGAACCTCGGTAGGTGTATCCAGGCGCAGTACTTACAAAGCGCTCTCAAATGCTCACTCACTGACTCGCTCATTCACTGACTCACTCACTCACTCACTCACTCTCTCTCACTCACACTGACTCTTGACTCACGCTCACATGCGCACTCACACTCACTCACACTCACATTCACTCTGAGTGAGTGAGTGAGTGAATGAGGGAGGGAGGGAGGGAGTGAGGGAGTGAGGGAGGGAGTGAGAGAGTGAGTGAGTGCACTCTCGCTCTCACTCTCTCACTCTCTCAGTCTCTCACTCTCTCACTCACTCACTCACTCACTCTCTCACTCGCTCTCTCGCTCTCTCACTCTCTCACTCTCTCACTCACTCTCACTCACTCTCTCACTCTCACTCACTCTCTCACTCTCTCTCACTCACTCACTCACTCACTCTCTCTCTCTCTCGCTCTACTCACTCACTCGCTCTCTCTCTCTCGCTCTACTCACTCACTCGCTCTACTCACTCACTCGCTCAATCACTCACTCACTCACCCACTCACTCACTCACTCACTCATTCACTCACTCACTCACTCGCTCGCTCGCTCACTCACTCACTCACTCACTCACTCACTCACTCACTCACTCACTCACTCACTCACTCACTCACTCACTCACTCACTCACTCACTCACTCACTCACTCACTCACTCACTCACTCACTCACCGCCACCGTCACCACGATCCCCACCTTCATTTATAGACCTCACACACACACTGTTTGGGGTCTCTTGCCCGGGTAGTTCCCGAGAGCGTCTGCGAAGGGTTCTTCGTAAAAAAGCATCTGCAGAACTACGTATCATGTACATCTTCACATCTTCACCTCTGCACATCCACATTCTCACCTAAATCTCTGCTCATCTTCAGATCTGCACACCTACATCTCCGCTCATCTTCTCATCTACATCTCTGCTGATCTTCACATCCTCACATCGACATCTCTGCTCATCTTCATCTTCACACATCTACATCTAGTCTCTGCTCATGTTCATATCTGCACATCGACATCTCTGCTCATCTTCACATCCTCACATCTACATCTCACATCTTCACCTCTCGCTCTTCTTACTTTCTCTCTCAAGGCCGGGGGCGGCGCCGCCGGAGCACCACGAAACGCGACCCTCTGCGGAGATCGTGCGCGTCGAGGGCGCGAAGTGCAGGCGAGAGTGCATTTTGGCCCGGTCCGGCGCAACCCTCTGCGGAGATCGTTCGTGTCGAGTGCGCGAAACGCAGGCGAGAGTGCGTTTTGGCCCGGTCGCGGGCAACCCTCTGCGGAGATCGTGCGTGTCGAGGGCGCGAAATGGAGGCAAGAGTGCGTTTTGGCCCGGTCCGGCGCAACCCTCTGCGGAGATCGTGCGTGTCGAGGGTGCGAAATGCAGGCGAGAGTGCGTTTTGGCCCGGTCCGGGGCAACCCTCTGCGGAGACCGTGTGCGTCGAGGGCGCGAAATGCGCGTTTTGGCCCGGTCCGGGGCAACCCTCTGCGGAGATCGCGCGTGTCGAGGGCGCGAAACGCAGGCGAGAGTGCGTTTTGGCCCGGTCCGGCGCAACCCTCTGCGGAGATCGTGCGTCGAGGGCGCGAAACGCAGGCGAGAGCGCGTCTTGGCCCGGTCCCGTGCAACTCTGCGCGGAGATCGTGCGTGTCGAGTGCCGAGTGCACGAAATGCAGGTGAGAGTGCGTTTTGGATTGGTCGCGCTCCACTTTTGGAGGAAGGCTTGTACGAAACGCTCGTTGTGGAGACTTGGCGCTTCACTTTTGAGGAAGTCTCGTACGAAACGCTGGTTTTGGAGACTTGGCGCTTCATTTGTGGAGAGGTACCTAAAGGCCGGTTCCTACTTAATCTACATCAAGTAACTTAGCGCTACTTAACCTACTTAGAACCTACTTATGTTGAATTAAAATACAATACTAAAATGACTGATTCTTAAGTAGGTTACAAGTAACTTATAAGTAGAAATAAGTAGAACTAAGTAGAACTAAGTAGAAATAAGTAGAAATAAGTAGAACTGGTTTGAAATGTTTGTTTTTTCAAGTTTTTATGAGAACTACACGTAACAGTATGATTTTATAACTTTTTTAAATAAAAAACTAAAAATTGAGCCAAAAAAACTATAGCGGACACACCGCTGCATAGCGGACACACCGCTGAATCCACTAGAATGTGTTTCATTCTCATATGAACCAAAAGCTTGCGCTCAAGTGATACCATCTGTTTTGCTGATACCATCTGATACGCCTCTGGTTGGGACTCAATCCATCGCCAATGCTTCAAACACTTCCGTCAAAACACTCTCCACTTCTGGGATGAGTTGGGGCACCATGTGGCTCCAGGTGGGAAGCCAGGATTCCAACATCTTCAGCTCTTTGTGCAAATAGAACCGCTGGTAGTAGTTCAACTTTTTCAGGGCTTCGAAGCCCATCACCTGGCTTTTCACTCCCATCGACTCCACCGTAATGTCATGGCCAGCGAGACCATTGAGCTGACACTGCGCAGCTGTGATCGAGCACCACAGGAGTCCAATGCAAGCTGTGTGGGGTCCAAGCCCAACATGGACGCATAAGTTCCTGCAACCTTCTCGTGACATCTCCAGCTCATCCAATCTGGACTCATCAGTCAAAGTAGCAACATGGGCAGCAATTTGCCCAGCAAAAAGGAGCAGCGCTTCCATGGTGCGTGAGCACAGCAACCAAGTTGAATCCTGTTGATGCACAAAATCTTGCGAGATCAGGACGACCATATAGTTCTGCGGTCATTTTCAGCGGACACACCGCTTTATGTTTGGGAAGCGGGAACTCCGCTTGTTTTGTGAGCAAAACAATGACAAAAAACAAATACTACATGCACTGGATCACATCTTCGCTCTCCGGTTCCTTTTGGTCACCGCAAACACACGACATGCCTTTGGTCTTCGGAATACTTCCACCACGATGGGACTGCTGGAGGTGCTTGAGGTTTCACTTCCAGTACAATCTCCTCATTGTCGTCAGTCAATTTCCAAACGGTTCCCCAGGTGGTGTCTCGTACCTTGTCGGGAGGAGGGTGAGTTTCGGTGAGCAAGCCCATTTTATACAGATGATATATATATATATATAAATATACACATACATACATCATATAGATATAGTGACATGGAAATTGCGAGATATGTACTTTCAATAAACCGCAGAATCAAAGGCACCAAGGCACGAAGTCAAGTTTCAAGCAGCGCAGGTAGAAACCAGTTGCGGGATCATAGAACCACGATTGCACAACACCAGCCGTGTATTGCCAAAGGACAATGTCGGT